TTCACTGATATGTGGTTAAATTGTATGAAAAATTTAACTAATTGTGAAATTCATGAATAATTAATAAGGCCACAAACAAATCACGACACGGTATTTAGGAAAAAAGGGAACACTTGCTAACCACATTAAAGATCAGAAAGTCCTGTTAGAGGGATGTTTATGAAAGTTAACCAGGGGCTTTTTTAACATACAAATGCCCCCCCCAGTCCCCCCTTGTGCCCCCCCCCACGAAAAGTCCCTTTTTCCTAAATTTATACCAACAAAACAGCTAAGAATAACAAATAAATAAACGGAAAGTAAGTTTTAGGCTTTGCCCTTGTCTAACAAAATCGATCTAAATTGTTACGTTTTTCTACCACTAAGTAATGATAAATTATTGTTAATAATTTTTAATTTTTTGGTTGCTCAGAATACAGGAAAGAGCAATTTCCAGGTTTCAAATTTGAAAAATTTTCTGGAGATTATGCCCCCACACACGTTGGCCTTCGGCCATTGGTATCCCCCTCTAATAAATATAATGATAAATTACGGTTAATATTCTTTTTTACTTTTTGTGCATTTTTTCCTTCTTTTATTTCAAATACAAGTATAGTTAGCATAAATTTTAGAGCAAATTCGGATGCTCAGAATGCAGGAAATGGCATTTCCGTGTTTCAAATTTCAAAAATTTCCTGGGGGAGTACACCCCCACACATGTGACCATTGGTATCCTCCTCTAATAAGTAATGATAAGTTATGGTTAATGTTTTTTTTAACTTTTTGTGGGTTTTTTCTTTCTTTTATTTCAAATACAAGTATAGTTAGTATACATTTTGGAGCGCATTTGGATGCTCAGAATGCAGGAAATGGCATTTCCGTGCTTCAAATTTCAAAAATTTTCTGGGGGAGTACAATCCCCCCCCCCCATTCATGCATGCATGGTATGTTTGGCGCACACGTGGCCTTCAGCCATTGCTATCTCCCTGTAATATATTATCTCACAGAAAGGTCCCTTTTCAAAAAATGCCCCCCCCCCCCACAGGAAAATCCTTAAAAAAGGCCCTGATTAGTTAATGGTACTAATTGAGAAGCATGGATGTTTATGAAAGTTAACAATACTAAGTTAAGTTTTAATAGTATGCTAATGAACGTGAGATTGTCCCCACGGGCAGTACGTTAAAATATTTGCAGCTGATCTTTATGGGCATTTAACAATGGCTCGTGCTCGCCATTGTAATTGTCCATAGAGATCAGCTGCAGTACTTAATAGTGAGCTCAGCAAGCAACGTTTCTGTTACCATGGACGTCACCCGAAAAGTAGTAGAAATAATATATGCGGCAATTTGCATCACAGCACTCGTGTAAGGAAGCAAAAAACACTAAAACAGAAAAACTATAAAAATCTTATTTCTTGTATTTTTTTGTCAGTCACAGAAGATTATTACCATGTCAGGGGAGTCACTTCCGCTGTATCCAAGACTCCAACACTACATCCGTGAAGTTGACCCCATGATAGAAATCGAATTGCAGCAAGAAATGTTACACACTGTTTTGTGTCAATGAAATACATGTAATTCCAAAATTTCAGGTTTATTTATCGAATCTAGCTGTGCTTATGCATATTAGGGTCAATTTCGCTGTAATAGGGTGTATATATAAGACCCCAACACCACATCCGTGAAGTTGACCCTATGATAGAAATCGAATTGTGCAAGAAATTTTACACACTGTTTTATATCTCTGAAATACATGTAATTCCAAAATTTCAGGTTTATTTATTGAATCTAGCTGTGCTTATGCATATTAGGGGTCAATTTTGTTGTAATAGGGTGTATATATAAGACCCCAACACCACATCCGTGAAATTGACCCCATGATAGAAATCGAATTGCAACAAGAAATTTTACACACTGTTTTAGATCACTGAAATACATGTAATTCCAAAATTTCAGGTTTATTTATTGAATCTAGCTGTGCTTATGCATATTAGGGGGCAATTTTGTTGTAATAGGGTGTATATATAAGACCCCAACACCACATCCGTGAAATTGACCCCATGATAGAAATCGAATTGCAACAAGAAATTTTACACACTGTTTTAGATCACTGAAATACATGTAATTCCAAAATTTCAGGTTTATTTATCGAATCTAAATGTGCTTATGCATATTAGGGTCAATTTCGCTGTAATAGGGTGTATATATAAGACCCCAACACCACATCCGTGAAATTGACCCCATGATTGAAATCGAATTGCGCAAGAAATTTTACACTCTGTTTTATATCACTGAAATACATGTAATTCCAAAATTTCAGGTTTATTTATTGAATCTAGCTGTGCTTATGCATATTAGGGGTCAATTTTGTTGTAATAGGGTGTATATATAACACCCCAACACCACATCCGTGAAATTGACCCCATGATAGAAATCGAATTGCAACATGAAATTTTACACACTGTTTTAGATCACTGAAATACATGTAATTCCAAAAATTTCAGGTTTATTTATTGAATCTAGCTGTGCTTATGCATATTAGGGGTCAATTTTGTTGTAATAGGGTGTATATATAAGACCCCAACACCACATCCGTGAAATTGACCCCATGATAGAAATCGAATTGCAACAAGAAATTTTACACACTGTTTTAGATCACTGAAATACATGTAATTCCAAAATTTCAGGTTTATTTATCGAATCTAGCTGTGCTTATGCATATTAGGGTCAATTTCGCTGTAATAGGGTGTATATATAAGACCCCAACACCACATCCGTGAAATTGACCCCATGATTGAAATCGAATTGCGCAAGAAATTTTACACACTGTTTTATATCACTGAAATACATGTAATTCCAAAATTTCAGGTTTATTTATTGAATCTAGCTGTGCTTATGCATATTAGGGGTCAATTTTGTTGTAATAGGGTGTATATATAAGACCCCAACACCACATCCGTGAAATTGACCCCATGATAGAAATTGAATTGCAACAAGAAATTTTACACACTGTTTTAGATCACTGAAATACATGTAATTCCAAAATTTCAGGTTTATTTATCGAATCTAGCTGTGCTTATGCATATTAGGGTCAATTTCGCTGTAATAGGGTGTATATATAAGACCCCAACACCACATCCGTGAAATTGACCCCATGATTGAAATCGAATTGCGCAAGAAATTTTACACTCTGTTTTATATCACTGAAATACATGTAATTCCAAAATTTCAGGTTTATTTATTGAATCTAGCTGTGCTTATGCATATTAGGGGTCAATTTTGTTGTAATAGGGTGTATATATAACACCCCAACACCACATCCGTGAAATTGACCCCATGATAGAAATCGAATTGCAACATGAAATTTTACACACTGTTTTAGATCACTGAAATACATGTAATTCCAGGTTTATTTATTGAATCTACAATCTTGGACATAACTGGTTGAGACTATTTTCCCCCTATAGAAAATTCACGTATTTTTATGATAAACTCCATGTTGAATCATGTTTCCATTCTTAAACCCCCACTCCCCCAACTCAATGTCGAGCTTGTATCATGGTATATTACCAAAAGTTGTTTCGGCGTTGTTCACAACATTGAACTTGGGGGGAGGGGGAGACAAAGTTTGTTTTGTCAATGTTCAATAACTTTGAAATATTAGCTGTAATGGTCTCAAGGGTTTTGTCCAAGGTTGTCTGAAACACACTGAATTTAATTGTGCCTGATAACTCAATCTTTTTTAATTTTCTTCCACTCCAGTAGTCTGAAAGATGGATATACATGTTACTTCTTGTTTTTCGAGCAATATATATATTTGTTTGCATGAAAAGCGAGCAATATAATGCCTATTTGAACTTGTCACATCCTAAAATATACGCATGAAACACATGAATTTTTCTTGTTGTTTCATCTAAAATATATAGTTTTCTACTGCCAGAAGCGAGTAATATCATGTTACTAGGGCATAGAGGTTGAGACACATGCATTGGGATTCAATTATGTAAATATCACGTTCAAGTGTTGCTGTATATAGGTATTTTTTATAAGTTGACGTCATTTGTTCTATAGTTTATGAGCCTCAAATTTGCTTTTAAAACTTATAATTTAACCCAAATTTTTTTATATGACGGTTAACCAAGTATAATCTTTATCGTGGTTTGATAAAAGAACGGTAAACAGGCCATTAGAACGGTAAACGGCCAATTTTTTTCCAATTTCCATTTTTTTTCAAGCACACTTTTCAACGTTGGAAATTATTATATACTTTATTCACACACACTATACCATTTCATTCATTATCTACTGATGGCAAGTAAATATACCGGATCGGGTAGGTAAACACTAGATCATTTTATTTTCACGTATTTTATTTTAAAATATCGGATATTTAACTATAGAAGTAGTTCATGTTTCGCTACTCTGATTTAAATAATGATTACAAAGCCCAGTCAAATTGTAATCAAGACCCAACGTTTCGACACTCCAATGTAGTGTCTTCATCAGGGGTGATCTAAAGTTGCAACAAACATGATTGATATACCTGGTTGCAGTGAACGAACAACCTTTAAATATAGAAGTATTTTTTCAAAATATTTGATATTGAACTTTCCCTTGGTCTCTGTATATTAATAGACTTTCTTGTGTTATTAATGACCAAGAATAAGGCTTAACATTTTTTATTAAAAGCTGTTTTTAATAAAATAGAAGTATTGTAGTAACTACCCTGGTTCCAGAGATTCTAGTGCCGCCGTATTATAAATTACGTAATTTGTACAATACGAGCGAGAATAGGGCGAAAAATACGATAACCTCTGGCAACCAGGGCATGTAATAACATGTCGCTCACAAACTATACTGTACAGTAGATAAATATTTAAAAAACCCGGCAAAATAAAGTTAACCAAGGCTTCCAGTCCCCCGAGAAATACTCGTATTATCTGCTCGGTGGCAAGGGTATCATGGGGTGCCACCCACTCATTGTCGCTGGATTTCGAATGAACATTTTTTGCGTGTATGTTGGCATCACTCGACGGCTTCTTCTATTTCCACATCACTATCATCTTCTATTTCTTCATCCCCATCCTTATCTTCACTATCGTCAATATCCAGATTAGCTAAGGATCCGTCAAGAACGCTCTTAAATAAAGTGGCCCCTTCCTTTATCATCTTTTTGCAAAAGAATATACCAGACTTTATAACAGCGTTCTCACCCTCCATTGAAAAGCGGCTTAGACGTCTAGATATACAGGGTGTATCAAAAAAAGTGCAATCCTCGACTGAAATGTAAATTGCTAAACAAATAATAGACGAAAACGTTAAAGTTTACATTCATTTTAAAGCGTAGCCATTCAGCTTTCTAACAGTGGGTTGTTTCTTAAATTTGACTCATTGGTTCGCAGGTAATAATACTTTACGTTATTGAGATTGGAGATTAAAAAAATTGAGATGGAATAGCAAATCGTTCTCATGAAAATAACTGATTTTTTTCATTAAAACAAAAAAATGTTGCATTTTATTAAATGGATTGTAACAATAAGTATAATTACGGCTTTTCTTCCACTATTTTTAACTCAGTTTGAAACTTCAAATGCGATATAATTTTGGCTTGGACCATCTAAGCTGACTGACATCAACTTGCTATAATTTCTGTTTACATTACATCGCAGTTTGATGACACTCTGGCTCAGACACCAGAATGTTTTGACGATTTTTAGCATTTGTTTAGGATTTTCAAACAACCTGGTCTCTTTTAAAATACTTTTAATTTGTTCTTACGTGGTTTTCCAGATGTAGTGACGACAACATTAAAGTTTAAAGAAGAAAATTCTAACATTTAAACCGACTAAACAATAACATAGTAAACTTGCATAATTAAACAGCAACTAAAATGATAGGTTTTACTAAATCTTTTCCTGTGCAATTATTACTAGCATTGGAGACAAGGATAATAGTTTGTTTGAAAGAGAAAAGAACAGGCTTTGAAGTAAGCCTAAAAGCGTTTAAGTAGAAATAGTATTTCGAAAGTTATTAAGCGCAAAAGATGAATTGCGTTTATTTTGATACACCCTGTATACTTTCCCTAAATATACAGCATAGGAAGAAGCATGTTAACAATACTGAATCGAGACGTTATGGTCTGAAAGCTCGGCAAACTTATAATCTTATAATTAGCTATGGTTTTAAATATTTTCAAATTTGACTTATTAACATTTCAACCATACGTTTCAGTGATTCGAGATGGTACCATTGGATAATGGTATCATTATAACAAAATTAAAGTACATTTTCTTCACGTTTGCACATAAAATATCACAAAGTGTAAAAAAATAGGCAGTATACAATTTTAACAGTATACTAGGCCTGTAAGTTATGAAGGAATCTAAAATTACTGTACGTCCGTCAATTATACTGTACATTGCGATTTAACAGTCGGGCCTATTTCTGGTTGATGTATTATGCCTCGCCAATTATATGTTTAGCATATAAAATGCAGAAAATGTTGTTATGCGTAAATGCTCAATTGAATTCACAATCAGTCTGGAAAATCGAAATTAACGTAAATAAGCTGACTGTCATGTATTATAATACCTTTCCCACATCGTCAGTACTGCATGGTACAACATCATCATCTGGTAAGTCATCTATATTAAAAATGTTGAATTATAGTTCAGAAATATGCTTGTTGTCATTGGTAACACAATTTAGTTGGTCTCTTTTATGTTTTAACAAAGTCTGACTCCTTTCTGATTTTCGGTTACACAAATTCGCAAACTATGAGTCTATGACATCATTATATACTTACAACTCTATTATTTACCTTTATTTAGGGAATTTAAACAAGTTGAAAGATCAGGGATTACACTGTCTTTATAATAGGAGAGAAACTGGACCATTTCTTTCTTAAGAAGTGACAATTCTTCTCCTAATCTTAAGCCAGTGAGGTAGATTTCAACTGCCTTTCGCTTCGCCCGCAATGGCAATACGTCGACTAAAAGAGAAAGAAATTAATAGACTGATGGCAAACTACCAACAGTTTTTTTCATGATATAATTAGGTAATTTTGTTTGTTTGTTTGTAGGGGTGCACCAGATTTCAAATCCGGCCGGAATTCCGGCCGGATTTAATGAATTTTCCGGCATCCGGCTTCCGGCCGGATTTGGAGAAATTCCAGCCGGATTTAAATTTCTGTTTTCACCTTAAAAAGTTCACCAAGAATGGGATAAACCATCAATTTGGCAGCTTTAAAGTTTAAAAAAAAAGACTTATATTATTATAAAATATTAAGTTATTAACAAAAAGATGTTTAAAAAAGGTTTAAACACAATCAAAAATCTAAACTGACACCAACTAACAATATTAAAAAACATAAACCGTCATTTTGAATACTGATTTATCTCCAATTGTCCCCATTACCAGTTTATCTCAAATCCGGCCGGAATTCCAGCCGGAATTTTTGTCCAAATCCGGTAAATCCGGTTTCAGCCGGATTTGAAAATTCCAAATCTGGTGCACCCCTATTTGTTTGGTTGATATACAGGGGTTGCAGGCCTGGATTTCATATTTTTCAAATTTATGATGGTAATCAAATTCCTATGATACAAGTGATTACCGGTGAATATTCACCGAGACGAAGTCGAGGTGAATATTCACCGTAATCACTGAGCCTGCGGCGAATAATTGTTTTAGTATAAATTTTTAATGAATAAAACAAAATATCCAAATATCAGTTCAATTAAATTTCAGAAATAAAACTGTTTTCGGCCTGTCCACAAATAGTGTTGCAGTGTTTCTTCTACGCACACGCTTTCAAAACGGCTTCTTGTGTGACTTTATTGCTTTATTGCAAAGTTATTTTTCTCGATTTCTGCTTGGAATATAAACACAATAACGGAACTACTCTTACACCAGACTTAGAACTAAAAATAGTTTCTGTTTACCATTAATTTCTTCAGGAAATGGCTGAGAAATTTGGTAAAACGAAATGTAAAACTATATCGTTCGAAATAAAGTTTTAATATAAACGCTTTTTACTTTACAAGTTTCGAAAAAAACAATACAGCGGTCAGAACACCATACAGCACAATGAAAACATAACATATCAAAAGAAATAGTATCGTACAAATTGGGAAATCTATAGCATACAAAATAAAATGGATTTTAAAGAATATCACGGCAAGGTTTTCCCCAAAAGTCAGGATGGTTTTTGCTATTTGTTTGAAGTGAATGCTTCGGAGTTTTAAATAAGTTTTAAATTGTCCGTGAATATGTTTGACACAGTAAAATAATAAAGGAATCCTACCTTTCAAGTTAAATACAACATTTTGTGCTTCTTTCGTTTTCTGGGGATGATTTTTTCAATATTTTGTCGATTTTGAAACCAAATTTGCCGAATCATTCTTTTTGAAAAGCACTATTTACTACCCAGGTGGTAAATAATGCCTCAGATTTACTAATGCAATATATTACCTCTGTCGTCCTCTTCATGAATCCATGGAAACGATCCCGCGAGTGCCTGTGCATATGTTACGGCGTTCTCACTTTCTTCCAACATATCATTCACAAAGTTGTATTGCTTGACAAGCTCTTCTAGCTTTTTCTTTTCGTTTGCGTTCTTACTGCGAAGCCTAGACCTTTGCTTGGATGAATCTGTAATATGTTGCAATATAAAATATAGATTTAAAATATTTACCTAAATATCATCAGATCCCATCTTAGAAAATACTTTCCTATGTAGAACGCTTGCAAAAATACAGTAAACATATATACTGTACAATCACATTTGTGTGACATTTTATCATAGAGTAACTGTAGCCTGTTTTAACGTTGTTCGACTACTATACCTGCTAAACGAATTATATTCTTTGTCTTTTGTGAAATAGAAAAACTGAGCATCTCTATTTCTACTCGAATTGTTTGTCTCTCTTCAGACGCCAGCAGCCTCTTTCCTTCTTCCAACGCCTTTGTCCTCTTTTCAACATATTCCATGCCAAGAATCCCCAAACCAGACTCTAGTTTGTTAATGCGGTTTTCCTTATCTTCCATAGCTTCTTGTTTCTCCAATGCTTCTCTGAACATATTGCTATTACCGGTTACTAATGCAGCACCTACGCCATCACGAGTTTTCTCGACAAAAGGTCTTAAAGACTTTGTCTCGATAATTTCCATGCTGAGCTGGTAATATAGCATTTGATCCTTTTGAAATTTTGTGCTGCTGTCCTTTTTAAATTGGCTACCTGTAAAATAATTTTCGATTACTGTATATTAGCCTATAAATTCCAGCAAAACAGTGCATTGCAGTATGTCACACTGGCGCCTGTACGAATATTCATCTGTGAAAACTGATGAGGGTGTAGACATAGAGATCTAAAAGCTTTGTGAAATAGATAAACGTGGTGTTTACCGTGTTTTCTAAAAAATATGGCATTTATAAATTAGACCTACATTAACAAATTTTTTCGACAAACTCCTTGCCAGCTTCAACACCTTTTGCTTATTCCAATGCAGCACATGCTCCGTTAGTGTTTCCTCGAGACCTGTGAACAGATTATTTTATGCATTCATGAGAAAATACTAACAGTCTGTATTATAATAACATAATTGGTCAAATAGAATGTTATTGTGCTAATGCAAATTTTTTTCTAGTTTCAGCACTTTCTGGGAGCCATTTTAAGAACTAAAAGAGGACTAGAAATAAGAACCAATCATGCCACAGTACTATACTACGCGGTTCGGTCATGAATATTGCTAAACATGCTTTAGCAGTTACATTTATGTAAACCTGCTGCATTCATGTATTTAGTAGTGGAACCCAGACGTGAAATGTACCCATTAATTTGTTCAACTTCCTCTCCAGTAGTATAAGCACTTCCGTCCTGCCAACGTCCACCCCATGTCACCTACAGTATTAATGTGAAAAACATAAATTATAACTAGACGTCTATTAAAAGCATATTGTACTCTGCACTTTTCGCCTTTACACCACTTGTGGATGCCAAAATCGGCAATATTGGCACAATATCAGTGATGGATCAACATAGCAATATCACCTTAATTTATTTTGGAATTTGTCTGAAATTTTACAGTACCTGACATAATCAAACATGACCTTTGCCATGCATGATGGAAAGTGCTGGTTTCACACAAAAGGCATCTGGAGGAGACAGATCTTTCAGTAGTGATGTAAACCATGGCCAACACTTGCAGACAACATCCTGCCACAAAAACTGAACCCCTCACGGAACTAAACGGTTGACTTGCAGATAATGAGTGTACCCAAATAGTTCACCTTGGTACATATTAACTGCACCTACTGCAAGAGTATGTCGGCATCCAGCGACGTCAATTCCAGTTTCATCCAGTTTTGTTCTTTTATGGGCAGAATTTTTTGCAGCTTTCCAGTTGGATGTTCCACAATAGGAATTTCCCGAACTTTTCTACATGAAAAACGTCTATTTTAGTTTCATTATTTAACTGTCACAAAGAACATTTAACCGACCTATGAATGCTCTGCTAATGACTGACTAGCTATGTGTACTGTACATAACAATGTTGACTACCCTTGATGCAGGCGAATCGTACACGTTTTTGAGATGTGCATCCACAACATCCCCCTCCTCCACAAATAGATTGCCACAGTAGCATTTCCTTTCACCTCTTAAATAGAACAAAAAAGCTAAATATGAGTGAAAGATTTATATTAGTTGTAAAATCTAAAGTGTATCTGTAATAGACTATTAACTAGTACTGTACACGAGGCCTGTTTACACTTGCAATTTTTGCTGCGATTTCTAGTGCAATTTTCTTCTTCTGATGGATGTGAATGATTGAAAGAGTTATAAATCTTCAGATGAGGGTACATGTACTCAGAACATTCATATTACCATTTGCATTCAAGCGTTAAGCGAAATTACGGTTTATTGCCCAATGAAAACTGTACATTTGACAGGTCAAACTTGTACGTTTGACATTTCAATTTTCAAAACAACACTTCGCTGGGCGGGACTTACTGTATATTAAAAATAAACCTCTGGAAGGTACGGTATTGTTTACACGGGATTTATAAACTAGTTATTTACTAAACTTAGACTTTAATACCGTAGTTTGACATTTCATTGACATCATATTAAAATATATCCATTCATATTATTTATACAGGGTGTATATCGCATTGAGATCGATCCCTTATTTGCTTTCAACGTTTCGATCAGTTTCAAGTCATTGTCAGTTAATTTGCGATTATTAATACGTAGTCCTCCACGGGATTGTATAGCAAAACTGTTTCTTTGGCAAAATTCCCTCCATATCTTTGCAACTGTTTGCTGCGAAACGCAGAAACGTTTCGAAATCTCGATATAAGTAACTGGAATATAACCTGTTAACTCATTAACGCCCAAGCTGTTACAATGTTTCTACCCCCCTAACGTGCAAGCAATATGGCGAATACGTGACTGAATTCAAGAGCTTTCACCAAAATGGCAATATCTCAGAAACAGTTGCATGAAAAAATCTGGTCTTTTCAACCAAATATTATTAATATATGATTGACCAAATTTAGTTTAAATGAACTTGCATACCTATATATATCATTAGTTTTTTCAATGAGAATTTTTATTTGTAAACCAGTGACACTATTTTTTTCATGTCACTCATCACCTAAAGGGGCAATATCTCCATATATTTATATAAATACCAAAAAAAAAATTATTTACTAAATTAGTACATATCTATATTATAACCAGTTTTCATCTATTGGGATATGAATTAGAAAATGATCAAAAATTATAAAAAATTCTCCTTTGCGTTTTTGGGCAAGATGTTTACAACATGAAATTTAGAACAGTAACTAAGTGTTAAAATTCAACAAAGTGTGCAAGCCAAAACACAGTGCTTGTACATCTTTGGAGTTTTTAATTACCTCAAATATATTTATAAGGACATATGGTACTAGAATCTATTTGTTTTCAATATAAACCAAGGATGGGAAGGTGAGAAAATAGGAATTTTCTGAGGTGTTTTTAACACAGACAATGACAGCCGACATTTTCAAAGGCAAATTGCGTTGACAAAACCAAAAGTTATTCACTTCTCTACTCAAAGCACTGAAAAACACCATAAAGAGAAAAACATTTTAAACATACATCAGGTAAGCCTTTTAGCTCAATTTTCTCATGTTTCTGTTTGGAAAGAAACGGTTTTTAGCCAAAATTATTTTGCGCGCCAATGTTGGCTGCTATAAAATGTCAGACACGCGTTCTCTTTTGAAGTCTGGCTCTGAAAAACAATCGCTTTTTTTTAGTTTGAAATAAGCTTTCATTAGGACTAATTGTGTAGAAATGTTATCTGTATGCTCAAATGAAAAAGATAACCTAATAGTCAGGTATTCAACATAGCTATAAAAGGGTGAAATAAGGACTTTCATCTTTGGTTGTTTGTCAGACATGAGAAACCACATTAGTGCCATTTTGCCGCGCGTGCTATTTTATAAAATAAACACCTCAAAACCATAAACTTTTAGTTCAGAAAATTACAAAGTTTCCCATAGACATTATTAAAAATGTTCTAGTGAAACGATTTCATGATAAATAAGCGAGCAATGGGCCCGAAAGGATGGCTAAATTATGTTTTTGTTGGGACTTCAGTTTCATGGCTTCCCGCAAAGGAAGCCATTTCAGAGAGAAGCGACAACAACGGCAAACAACCGTCACGACCAAATTTTGATAACTTTTCCTTCTGATTCAACATGTAGTTACTAGAAAATGAGGTTGGATCAACATTACTATCTGCCTTATCGATTTAAAGTTTTATGGGGATATAAAACCCAATACAAAAAGCATTTTAAAAGCATTAGAACTCAAGTGCGGACTTTTTGAGAATTCGCACGCGGCAAGCAAGCGCATTAATTCAATACACTTATTTCAAACTACAATATGTCTGAAACGAGTTATCATTTTAAGACTAAATTGATGAAAATAGATATAACAGTGATTTTGGAGTACCCTACTTAGTGTAATTTAATACTCGAAGTATTCTTGCCAAATAGGGCACGTACGCACACAGTAATTTAATCTGGTGTCGTTTGAAACATACTTTAGCTAAAATAACAACTTGAACAAGAAGACCAACAATGGGGTTACGAAAACAGTCGAAATTGTGCCCAAATTTGCATAAACAGTTCGTCTAAAAAGATAACTTTAAAGTGCTTATGAAACGAAATTTTCACCTCATTTTTTATTGTTTTGCTAAAAAGTACTGCTAGAGTGATGAAGAATGACGTTTACAGTTTCTTCATATCTCATCTCGTTCTCAAGTTATCGCACTTTCTAAATTTTGAGTTGTGACGTCACTAGTTTGACTTGAGATAATGGCAATAACAAGAAAGTCTGATATCTTAGTGAGTATTTAATAAAATTCAATGAAACTCGGCACACTTAGTGGGTGCACCCATATGAATATTTTTGGCAGGTCATGTGGTTGCCATGGCAACACACTAGTCCCCCAGTCTGTTCTCTTCCTTTTTACAAATTTCCTCCTGTAGACCTCTTGCAGAGGATATTTGCATGTTATGACGGTTTAAAGTGATCACAATACCTACACGTATTATAGTAATAAGCGACAATTGCAGAAATTACTATTTATTTCGTTGGAAATGGATCATATAGAAATTGGAAGGGAAGGGACTGGGGATGAGTGTGTTGCCATAACAACCATATAAACAAGCCAAATTGTTCACTTCGTTGCACCCACTAAGTGTGCCAAGTTTCATTGAATTTTATTAAATGATCATCAAGATATCAGATTTTCTTGTTACTGCCATTATTTTGAGTCAAACTAGTGACGTCACAACTCAAAATATAGAAAGTGCGATAACTTGGGAATGAGATGAGATACGAACAAACTGTAAATGTCATTCGTCATCATTTAAGCAGTACATTTTAATAAGACAATAAAAATCGAGGCAAAAATTTCGTTTCATAAGCACTTTAAACTAGATTCAACCAACATTAATGCAGTCGAATTTTGTGAGTGTTTGATCGCATATTTCTACTCAAAAATACCCTTTAAAAAATCGTATCTGCTCACTTGTGTTCCGTGTTCATCTTTCTTGTGATTTCCGACTTCTATTTTTAATAAAGGTTGGAGAAATCCTCATCTTTTTGGCTGAAAATCTCGCGCATGGTTCACAGAAAAACTTGGCCCCAAAACGTCAATACATTCGCTTTCCTTTCATGCCAAATTTTCGTTGTAGTTGATTCAGAAACCTCTTCTTTTCTTGCTTTTAAAACTTGCTGTAAAATCTTTCTTTGTAACAGAGTCGCCATTATTCATTATTTTTGGAAAACTAAGATTTTAAACTTGAAAAACTTTGCGAGTTTCTGACCGATTTTCTTGCATGATACACCGTTGAAAAGCTCGAATTTCACGTTCTATTTTCGTATCCGTTGCTAGGCAACCCGATAAACATGTGCTCAAATATCATGCCCGCAAGTTAAGGTGTCATGCCAGGGCGTATTCGGGCGCATTGTCCGTTACCCACTTGTCAATCTCAGGGCGCATACGGGCGTTAATGAGTTAATACTGGTCCTCTAACTATTTAGGTTACACAATGTTGCACACCAGTACTTGTCCCATTACCTATTCTACACCAAAAAAGCGCTTTTGGAATGCCTCGACAATTGAGTTGAAGTTAGGGGTTGAACGTATGTGGCTCGATGCAGTATTTCAAAATCTGCCAAATTAAACCAGCTCACTGCTGCTTTGTATTACAAAGATACTGCAGGAAAAATGGACGTTGCAGATACTACCGTAGCAGGTGGCAATTACAACCCTGGTTTTTAGCAAAACAAGTGGAATTATTGAAAAGACTGGACCTATTATTCAGCGACATATTTACATCCGAACGTCCCCTGTTGAGTTACGTAGATCTGAAAGTTGTTTTGAATCGAAGCAGCAACGAGTTCTGTTTGATGGCCTCCGAATACGATGTCGATTACCATGTGAAACACACTTCTGACTATCTCAAGAAACATAAAGTGAAAGTCAATCCGAGCATTTCTGTGGCCCATGAAATTGCATTGAAAAAACGACTGGCCATCTATCCTGTAAGTCGCCTTGAATGCAAAAGTTTCATCATCCCCACAGGAAACCCCTCCTGAGGAAAGATAACATCTTCAACAGGGGCTTGTGCCGAAAGCATTTTGTCTTTGGAATTGTCAAAAGCGATGTGTTTAACGGTGCCTTTAAAAAGACTCTGTACAATTTACAACATTTCAGCCTGTCCTCCAGTGGAATAACGGTGAACGGATAGGAAATGCCATTTTAACTCTTGCAGCTTTCCTATGGTGCAGCACCTAAATACATTGAAGCACTCAGCACCCTGTTTTCTGGTACAGGAAAAATGTATTACAACACATGATTTCAACAGTATTCTCTGTTTTAAAGGGGGGTGAATACGTGCCGAGGTTTTTACGTTATAAACAATTGAGTTGTAAAATCGTCAAAATGTCGCTTGTCGATAAAGAGTTAATATCAAGTCCTTCAGGGGCAAGCCAAGATGGCGGACTGATTTTTGTCGCTCCGTATATTTGAAAGTAAATTTCATCATATAACAGAACTTTATTTATTGAAGCTAGACGAGATGTCTAAAACTCCTAGCATGGCCAAACAGAAATTAAATGAAGAAACAACAGAGAATGAACGTGCTAATGATTAGAGTCACAATTACGAAATGCAAATAACAAAATTCCACTTGAGAAAATCTTGGACAAGAAACTCAATCCTATAGACAAGAAACTTTAAGAGATTCTGACTTCGGTTAATTTCCTTAGCGCTAAGTATGATGAACTTGTTAAAAAAGTTGACACCCTCGAGGACAAGAATAAGGGACTCGAAGTTGAAAATAAACGGCTAAACGACTCGGTTAGACAACTTGAATCGCAAGTACAACAGCAAGCAGAATCTATCAGTGAAATTGAACAGTATTCTAGACGTGACTGTCTAGAAATACAAGGGATTCCAGTGGAAACTAACAAAGAAACAGACAAGGATTGTCCAGGCAGTAGGCAATCTCACAAACGTAGTCATTAACCCTCAAGATATATCAGTTAGTCACAGATTAAAAGAGCACCATGGCAGTGAAGACCCAATGTCAAGTCGTCCACCGCCAATTATAGTGGAATTTGTCAGAAGGGAAGTTAAGGAGAAATTATATTCCTTACGAAGAATGCTACGTAATAAGTCAACTTCAGACTTGCCGTTACTGAATTCCACTGGAAATAAAATATTTATCTCAGAAAGCCTGACCAAGAAGAATAAGGATTTATTTAAAGAAACATGGAAATGAAAGAAAGAGCTTGGATATAAATTCATTTGGACACAATCTGGAAGAATATTCACAAAAAAGGATGTAAACAGTGCAAAACTACATATCAGGAATAATACAGATCTACAAAACATGAGATGAATATTGAACCTCTAAACAGATAAGTAAACTAACATATATGTACATGTAATTTTCAATTATTTGTCTAAAATGTGGACATCCTGTTGAAGGTATCAATGACAAGGTCTATGCGACCAGAGATTATGATTCTCTTCCTTTTCTTAATATTACTTCAAGTGAAACAAATATACCACATCTAACAAGCTCAGATATTGATCTTCACATGCCATCAGAGGTTAACTTTAAATATTATAGTACACATAATTTTCACGATGACAAAGATATTAATGAGTGTATGATCGACAACTCATTTTCTTGTCTTGAATTGTAACATTAGAAGCTTATCAGCTAATTTTGATAATTTTCATAACATGCTATCTGAATTGCACTTTCCCTTTTCAATAATTGGTCTGACTGAAACTAAACTAAAATGTGATTAAAATCCAATTGTTAATACAGAATTGTTGGCTCATAATTTTGTATCTCAACCAAGCAAAACAAATGCTGGTGGAGTTGGTTTCTACATAAGAAATCAGTTAAAATATTTAATTCGATCAGATATATCTTGTTCAGAAATAGATTTTGAAGCTTCATGGATTGAAATACAGACTGACTCCCATCGGAACATGCTATGTGGAGTGTTATATAGACACCCCAATGGCAATCTAGGAAATTTTATGTCATACCTTAATTCAACAATTGAAAAAATTCATCAAGAAAGTAAATATTGTGTAATTATGGGAGATGTTAATTTAGACCTTTTAAAGTTTGAAATTCACCCAGCTACAGACGATTTTCTTGACACATTAGGTTCTTATTTCTTCCAACCTCAAATACTTCAGCCGACTAGAATTACTGATCCATTCAGCCACATTAATAGACAATATATTTTCAATTCTGTTGAACACTTTCTTATTGGTGGCAATATAGTATATGACCTTACTGACATTTGCCAAATTTTTTGATAATTAATAGATACTCTTTGTTACCTAATAATGTTAAGATCTATAAGCGAGATTTTAGTAAGCTTGATGGAGCAGCTTTAGTTAATGAATTCAAACCATAGATTGGGACAATGCATTTTCCTACTGTTCTATGTTTGATTCTTTTTATAAAACTATATCACAAAAAGTTGATAAATGTATTCCTATCAAAGTGATGTCTAAGAAGGAATTAAAAATCCAGTCTAAACCATAGATTACGTCTGCTATTAGAACATCCATCAACACAAAAAATAAATCCAACAAAAAATTTCTAAAAACTAAAGCTGTTCATTATCACTCTAAATTTAAATATCACAGAAATAAAATAAAATAATCAATTTAAGCAAAGCTATAAATTGCGGTTAATGGAGTAATATGTTCTGAAGGCTCTATCTGCCCGAGGGTGTTTTCAGTCTGCCAACGCATCTGCGTCACAACAATTAATCCGTACCAGGTACGTACAAGGTCCAAGTACCTTGGCAGAACAAGGGAACCGTTTTCTAGCCCTGTTAATATTACAAACTATCTGATAAATATCGAACTTTGGCTGCTAAGCATCTGAACAACTGATGCAAACTTGGGATTAACCAATCAGAAATTATCCTGAAGGTTTTTTTCCTTCACGTGCATACGTACAATGACCCCCTCTTTGCGCAAGGACTTTTGATCGCAATGTCGACGTGCACTGCTCATTCACAAGACTTTAGCCAGTGCCTTAACATCTCTGGCAAAATATTTGGCTAATAATTTAAGGTACCAAACCTTGGCAAAGAAGTGGAAATTTAAAAAAAAAAAAACAGATCAAGCTTGGAACAAATGGCAAAAGTAATGCGCAAGATCACAAGTCCAAGGACGACACAGTTTCTCCGAGACACACAAGATCCCATGCATGCAGTGTTCCAGAACCAGAATGTTGCCGCTTGCAATCCACATTCTGTGACCTCAAACGGAGTGAGTTCGTTCCATATTGTTTATATATTTCTCCAATATAACGTTCTTGAATTTACTGCTATATTACACTATTAATATATAACTTTATCTTGCTCTTCTCCTGTCCAACATGAGTCACAATTTGTATTGTATTAGTACGCTATGCATTCGCGCCTACTCAAGGTTATGTGCTACCCTATTATCTCCAGTTGCATGCTATTGCTACTTTGTTTAATTTAATACCATACAAACAAGACACATAATTAACTGCATATTTGGATTAATATTGTACGCAAACTTGTGTCGCATCCTCTATTTGCTCAGGCGGGAACTATTTTGGAATATCTTAGGCTAGATATGTTACAACAGCTGTAATACAGCCTTATCGTACTGCTACTTTATACACACAAGTCACGATTCATAATGCACTGTTTGCTGCATTTCACTTAATTTCCTGTGCACAGGTCTTAACACAGTTCTATAGCTATTATTGATACTTTGTATCATGTCAGCCGTACGAACAACATGTATTCAACTACAAAAAATTACACCCAGTACAAAGACGTGGTTTTTCCTGTTATATGAGGATGGTTTGTCATAATATAAGGACGGTTTTATTATCCTAGTTGCAAGAACGGTTTATCCTAGTTAAAATGATTGAGATGTTCATATATAAACCGACCTCACCAGATCCCAACTAGAAAGGTTATGCTGTAGCAAGTTAAATGTTTTCTTTGTGCAGATGTATATTTTGTTACACTATAAACCATACATATACCATGGCTTACACACAGCTTTATTTTATCTTTCCTTAAATTCAAGCCACACATGGCTGTGTATTTACTAAGAGCTATGGTGCTGTTGTGACTTGTGAGTCGAATAACTCGAAAAACTGCATCTGCATCACATCACGAGCTATGTATAATAAGATTAATCAGTTATTTTTCATTAATCTCGCCGGGGAAAATCCCGCACTTATGGAGTGTCATATAACCAATTTGCACAATAGTTTTACCTCGTACACACAGCGTATATATAAATACGTCATTTTAGTTGACCTGCATCTGGGGACGAAGGCGGACTTATGGCCTCAGTAATATCATTATCGAGATGTAAGCATAAGCAAAATTGCTGAATCTTACTGGCTGCCGCTTTTAAATTTGCATGCTTAGGCAAAATACTTGGTGTTGTTAATATTGAGTGTGACTGAACGGGACTAAATCCTGAATAAATTGAATGTCGATACACGCATGTTTAATGCGGGTCTTTCAAACTTGAAACTTATAGCTCGATCGATCGTATAGCGAATAGTTATCCTAATATACTCGCATACGCAACTATTTCTCGTGGCAAGATTCGAAGAGAAGATGGGTTCCCCACGCTCTTCTCAGATATAAAAAGAAGTGTGACTGAATGACTTCATGCATGTATACAG